AGGATTTTGAACTTCTTAAGGATAGCAATGACGGTTTTGTTGCTCAATACAGCATTTCAATATATATTTGTTGACCTATGTTGTCTTTTCTGCTTCCATTGGAGGCAAAACAAGTATGCCTTAAAAGTTAATTGCATTAGGTCAGATTGAGATGAGATAAAAAAGAATTTATCGAGCATTGAGAATTGTAGATAGTTGAGGCTTTAGACATCTCTTTGAAGAGAGAAATTAAAATCACATGGGGATTATAATTACCTGAGTGTCACAGAACAAGCCTTAGCTTTGAAAAATTACTAAAGGGAATTTTATTATTGTAGGGATATATCATTCTTCTCCTTATAAAAGAAAGGATTTGAGCTGACTAGAAAGTAAAGTCTGAAAATACTTAATTATGAGACTACAAACGTATATTGGGTACTTTCTACAACATTAAGAAATAACATTCCCAAGCTCTCACTAGAAGCAAAATTCTCTGCTGTGCATTTGGCATGTATCATTCCAATTAATTCTCTTAAATTTTTTCCCCCCCAAAGCCCCAGTAGATAGTTGTACGTCATGGCTGCACATCCTTCTAGTTGCTGCATGTGGGATGCGGCCTCAGCATGGCCAGAGAAGCGGTGCGTCGGTGCGCGCCTGAGATCTGAACACGGGCCGCCAGCAGCGGAGCGCGTGCACTTAACCACTAAGCCACAGGGCCGGCCCCCAATTAATTCTTATAATGTGCCCATGAGGTAGACACTTTTACTATCATTTTTTTAAAACTATGAGAACTAACTAAGATCTGTAGAAGTACAGCAACTCTCAAGGTCACACACAAAAATCAGTGGCAGCCTGGGGTCAAATCCAAGTCTATGTGACTACACAGCTTAAGTTCTTAACTCCTGCATCACGACGGTAGGCAAGGCGCTGGGTGCTGTGTGTCTATTATCAGCCTAGATACGTATTTTCTAAATAAATGGACTGCTCCTCTGCATCCTAGCCTATAAAGCTAGAGAGTAATTCTGGGCAGAAGGAATCTATGTCTCAGTTTATTATTTTCACAGACATAGAACGTGACTTCATAAGTCAACCAGAATTTCAAAGGAATACAATTTTTGTACAATTTTGTTTGGTGCCCGAAAAATACCAGTAAATATGCAAAGTCAGGCAACAATATCCACAGAAAATGGCCTGGCATGTAAACAAAAATACCTATGAACACTTCTCAGTTTCTGTTCTATTATTACTCTGTTTGCCAAACCCTAAAATGCCAATGCTACCTAATTAAGGGGTATGCCAAATTTTTCTTAAAATTGATATCCATTATGGAAGGACTGATTTTCTCTAGTCCATATGATTTTCAGAATGATCCTAATAGATACGGTAAATTATAATTATATAGAAATATGATTTTTTTTAAAAACACTCAAGTTGAAGGGAAAACTAATTCAAGAAAAAAGTCATGTCAGGAAAATGTCAAAAAGCAGCCATGTCTACAAAAAAACTTCTATGAAAACACACAATGGACCCTTAATAGAGAACACTTAGCTGGCTATAATCTCTATTACAAAGGATTACTTCATTTTGTTGAAATTCTGATATAAAAACTTAGTGAAACATTTTATGTTAAAAATAACTAGCTTTAATTCTGGTTTAATAAACACATTTGTAGAAAAGATTCATGTCTTTTAAGAATACCTTTTTTGAAAATTTAGTATGTGAAAGTCAAACAAACCTACCCCTAGGCTGTAGATCTTTGAATAGATGAAAATTCAGCTGTCTTGGGATTCTCATTATAACTCCAGCCATTACAGCAAAAAGGATTCTACCTGGCTCCAGCTACAGAGGCCACGACTGTAGGAGGAAGCTAAAGCAGGGGACAGGAGGGCTTCCTTCTGGCTCGTGAGAGAGACAGAAAAGAGGGTATTTCTGTTGTTAGTGAGGTGGAGTTGATTCCGACTCCTAGAGACCGTGTGCACAGCAGAGCAGAACCCTGCCCTGTCTTTTTGCACAATCCTCTCACCTTCCAGCACCGTATCAGACATGCTCCGCTGCTATTCATAGGGTGTTGATGGCCAATTTTTTCGTAAGTGGGTGGCCAGGTCCTTCTTCCTAGTCTGTCCTGGAAGCTCTGCTGAAGCCTGTCCACCACGGGTGACTCTGCTGGTATTGGAAATGCCAGTGGCATAGCTTTCAGCATCACAGCAACAAGCAGCCGCCACAGTGTGACAACTGACAGCCAGGTGGTGTGGTTCCCTGATTGGGAAATCTTAACCACTAGACCGCCAAGGTTGGCTAAAAGAGGATATACCCTCCCCAAATTCTTCTGCCATTGGCAAAGAGGAAGGAAACCAGAACTCAGACCGCATTGAAAAATTAATTCAACCATTCTCTGTGACTCATTGGAAAGCCTGAAGCTAATAAAAAAAATCAAGTTATAAATGACAAATAATCCCATCCTGCAGGTTGAATGGTCTCTGGTATGAAGTGAAGAATTTAGGGGAGAGAGTGATGAAAGGAGAGGTGAGAATTTGTGAAAAAGATATAAATCTGTGTCTTCAGAAGTATTAAGAAAAGCTTAGTTTTTTTGTACTATGAGTAATGTAAATTTAAATTTTTAATAGAGCCTTATTTTTATTTTAAAAGACAACTGTGCTTTCTTCTCTACCCCAAACCCACCTATAGCATAAGCCTTAAAAGGCGGGACTGTGTTCTCCTCCTGCCTGCTGGGGGAGAATTTGCACCACTGACTATGCGAGAGGTCAGTAAGCTCCTTCTGGAGGTTGAAGTTGCAAAAACTCAAGGCCTAAGGGCTCCTCCAGTTCAGAAATCCACTGTCTCATTGACACAAATATTTTGACAATATTGGAAATTAATTAATTGATTCATTTTCCGTAAACAATCTCATGACAGAGAAGAGTTGGGTGATTGAGTAACGCCATTTTGGGAGATGCTGTGCCAGTTTACACGGTGATGGGCTGGGCCATAGACTTCCTCACCCACCAGAGGTCATTTCCAGTAAATGTAACACGTGACCTGCTACATCTTTCAATCACACAAGAGTTCTCAGAACAGAAAGAAATTAGCACCACTAAAAATCTGATATTTATGGCAAAACATAACGCAAGGGGACTGTTTTAATAGGATGGGGCTCGGAGTCAGCCAGGCTTGCGCTGGGATTGTGGCCCTACTGTATATGAGTTATGTGATGTTGGGCAGTTAGTTAACCTCTCAGAGCTCCCCCTGTGAAATGGGGGTAAGAATGCTTTTCTTGCAGGGCTGTTGTGCTGGGGTAAATGTGCATGAATGTCAACCAATAAACGATGGCAATTATTACTATGATTATTTTGAAAATTCCAAAAGCAGCTCATTATATGTTGGCATCCTCTATGGGGGGATTATCATCATCACCATGAGCACTGAAACTAAGTCTTCAACACAGACCACCTCATCCTTAGGTTTGCAGCTAGGCTGGCAAACTCTTGTGCCAGGTTCTCAGAATCTATTCTCCTTGTTCTGACTGGTGCGGTAAAATATGAGCGCAGGGTGTTAGGCGTAAAATGCTTTTAGAGTTTTGAGTTTACAAATTTATGGAAGGTGGAATAAAATATCCATCACCTACAATAAGTTCTATTGTTCCCGGGGGGTAGATAAATCTCAAGGCATAATTACGCTCCTGCCTGCCGTGACCTTTGAAGATGCATATCTGCTTGAAAAATAATAGAATAATTCCTCCTTAGTGAAAAACATTCAAGTTTCTATTTGAAATATGCTTTAAATAAAACAATGCCTATGGATACTTTATTTATACCACCGTGGGTCGTCTTCAGTTTCGTTGGGCTTGATTTTCCTAATAGTCTAAGAGAAACTATTAATCACATTTTGCTGCATATCTACACGCATCTTTCATTTATCTGAAGTCCTAAGGAAATGATTTTCCCCATGTTTGTTTTCCAAGAATATGACCATATTCTATCTAAACTCAGTAGAAAATGGACAGTGGCCGTTGCATACATTCGTGCTGTGATTAACGCTCTGCTATAAAACAATATTTTTTAGCAACTCCTGCTGTTTGTTTAAATTTGCTTGGGAAAATTAGGATGGCTCCCCCTAAATATTCACAGGAACCTATACAACATTGCCAGCAGCACAATCCAATTTCTTTGAACATTTCCTAAGCACCAAACCTTTTCAAAATACTGTGAAAGAAATCATGGAAGGTATGAAGGAGAAGGAGGAGGTGAGGAACAAGAAGGCTGGGGGGAGCTGTTACAGGAGGATGGGGGAGGGGAGGAAAGAATGAGGAAGAAGGAGGAGGAGGGAAGAGAAAGAAAGAATAAAAATGAAAACAACAAAAAGCCATCCTTGCCCCAGGTTCCTGGTTCTGTAACTGTTTTTCTGTGTGTCCAGCTCAACCAATGGCTTCGCCCAACCATAACCATGTCTTACTGCCTTTGGAATCCACAGAAGAGCTACTGACACTGCACCCCCATGTTGTGTGAGCACATCTACCCAGCACTGAAAACCCTACAAAATCATGCTCGTTCTCATGACTTTCCTTCCCACACACACTTTTGGGTCCCAAATCATGCATTTTTGAGAGACCGACCGGGTGAGCTTAGAGGTGCCACCCTCCCTATTATGTATATAACCAGGAACCCTCCTGGGAGTCCTTGGTGGCCCGAGACAGGGCTGCACCTGGTTGCAAAGCACAGTTCAAGGGAAAAATACTTGCTCTGCAGGACCTAGAGGGTAAGTCTGGGGAACCAGAGCAAGAGGTGGGCGGAGTTGTTCTAGAAGGGGAGCTTCACAAATGGGCAAGCGCTGGACTCAACCGACCCCCTGACCCTTGGTGTGGTGACCTAGGGAAGAGTCACAGAAGTCCCACAATATCAGGACCCTTTGCTGCCAAAAGTCAAAATGCCCCATTTCCTGCACAAAGAATTAAGCAACTAGTCAGTGTTCCAGGCTTCGCTTTGGTCTGCAGATTTCTAATTAAGAAAATGAAAGAACAGTCTTACCCATGAGGAATTTTGCTCAGGACATAATATCCAGTATAGGAGTGTTGATATATCTGAAACAGACAAAAAAAAAAAAAAAAAAAAAAAGAAGAAGAAAAGCGAGCATTGAGACAAAGGCTGTGACTATGATATTTTTCAAATCCCTGTGAATCCTAATAAGCATCAGTGGACCAAAAGTAGTTAATCAGGAGACCTGGAGGCAAAGTCTTTTATTTACTTAGGAAGTTAATTTGCATATCCTGTTTATTTTATTTCCGTCATTTGCACATGGTTTACAGGGCAGCCAAGAGGCTTGATGTCATCTCCGTGGCTACCTGGTTTGTGATTAGATCAGGGGCATAGATTTCCAGCTCCACTAAATGTAGCACAGAACTAACGAGGACACTGTGGTCATCAGAGGCTGTCAGACAGTCAGCTAGACCCAGTGGGACAGTAAGACCCTTGTACTGCAGGAGTTTCCTGTAAATTATGGCAGATTCCATTGTGTTTCTTCAGTGAGTGGCAATACTGAAGCCAAGATAGGCTTAAATGGGCAAAGTCCTGTCCCTCTGTACAATTTGATGTGCGCCTTTTAGTTTCAGAGAGTGGTTAATAAACTAAGAACTCACTGCAAGAGGGGAGCGTGCTTTCAAAACTAAGGTAACAAACAAAACAAAACAGTATTTCTAAACTCCTATAACCCCCAAATCTCAGGTGTACCTTTTAAACTCCTGAGCCAGGAGATTACTTCCCAACCCATAAATGCAATGAATAGAACTCGAGTGACACCCAAAAGAAGGGAGAGCATGGCAGTTCGCGAAATCTTGGCATCTTTCATCTCCAGCTTTCTGGATCGAGACCCTCCTCAGCGTATGGAATGTGATGGGTTACTCTGTAGGGTTGAAGTGAGAACCCTGTTTCACTTCCCTTTCCTTTACCTATGAAACTTCTGAGAGCTGGCACCCTGTGTGGGTAAATGTTCAGTAACTGGCATTTCAAACCACCTTTCTGAAGACAATAGGTGAGGGGCGTGCAGGGCAAGGAAGATAGATCTAACGTAAAGCGTGTGCAAGAGAGGAATGCACTTGGGGGACTCATGATGGAAATGAGCCTGCAAAAGAAAACAGGTAGGATTTTGCTAATATCACGGACTTCCTGCCTAGTCTGGGCCCCTGAATTAACTTCTAGAAAATCACAGTGGATTAGAGTTATTTGGAGGAAAAGAACCCAGATATAAAAATAAGCAAGAGCACTTAAGTTCCAATAATTTTGTGCTTCCTGAGAACCTGACATTCCTGAACCAGAAATATGGGGCCTGGGGTGGCCTACTGTAGGGCAGTGGATGGGCATCTGACTCAGAAATTAGTCCTGAAGTTGTGAAGAAATAGCCACTAAGGAACAAAATCATGAGGAGAACTTCACGGAGCTGCCACGGCCGTCAATAAGAAACACATGAGCCTACCTCAGTTCATTATTCCTGAAGTGATGGGGGTACTGCTCCCCCAGGAGAAGAAAGAAGGGCCTGTGTACCACCTCCCGCGTCCTAAGTAGATTACTGCTCAGAGAGAGCCCATCAGAGGACCTGCACTCGGACTAAACAGGGCCTCTGAGCTGGACTGGCTTCCTCCGATGCAAGGGCAGAGGGAAGATGGATCCGCCTCATTTCTCCACGTTATGGTATATGGTGCTATGTTGTACAGTGTTTCTAAATTCTCCTTCCAAAAGTACCTTTTCATACTATTTATCTCACTTTATTTTCACAGTAACCCCAGGCAGGCAAAAGATTACCTTTGTTTCTTAAGATAGGCAACTGACGTACCTCAAGGGCAGAGGAGGAGGGAGGAAAGACAAAGGGGAGAGGGAGTAGAGGCAAAAAGAAGGAGGGGTGAGGAGCGAGGGGTGGTGCCTAATCTGTATCCTTGAGTGTTGGCATACTTAGTGACTCAAATGAAGGGAACATGGCAGAAACGATGGCGTTAGACTTCTGACACCAGGTTATAAAAGGTACTCTGGCTTCCTTCTTGCTCTCTTTCAGATCACTGGCTCTGGAGGAAGACAGCCGCCATGTTGTGAGGACACTCAAGCAGCAGGTCCACGTGGTGAGGGGTCCAGGTTCCACCCCGTTAGATCACCAATAGCCAGCGAGGAACTGAGGCCTCTTGCCACCAGCCACATGAGGGAGCTTGGAAGTGGGTTCTTCATTCCCAGTCAAGCCTTCAGATGGTACAGCCCTGGATGACACCTGGATGGCAACCTCATGAGAGACCCTGAGCCAGAGCCACTCAGACAAGATGGTCCTAAATTCCTGACCCACAGTCACGGCAAGATAATAAATGTCGGTTGTCTTAAGCCACTAAGTTTTGGGTAGTTTCTTACACAGCAATATGTAAATCATATATCTGGTTTAAATCCAGAGAAAAAGATAATTATTAAATCAGATGTGGATAGACCTCTTCTGAGTTACTGGGTTCCCTCCCTATAAACTTCCAGCAACTTCTAAAAGAAACAGACAAACAAAGTCCTTATAAAAACAGTGTCAGTAGAAAAGAGGTGAGGGGCTGGGGATGACCACTCCCCCAACCAAAACCCTCAGAGGATGCCTTTGAAATGACTGTGAAGAACAGTTCAAAGCACTGGAGATGATGATGATGTGGAGGCTGATGAAACTAATGGTGATAGTGGCTAGCATTTATGGAGCTCGTACTATATATTAGGTAGTACGCCAACTCCTTAGCATACATGAACTCATTCAGTCTCATTGAGGTAGGCATTATTATCCCCCCCCCTTTTTTTTTTGTGAGTAAGATCAGCCCTGAGCTAACATCCATGCCAATCCTCCTCATTTTGCTGAGGAAGACTGGCCCTGGGCTGACATCTGTGCCCATCTTCCTCCACTTTTATATGGGATGCTGCCACAGCATGGCTTAACAAGCGGTGCATTGATGCGTGCCCAGGGTTCTGGACCCGGGCTGCCAGCAGCCGAGTGTGCGCAATCAACTGCTATGCCACGGGGCTGGCCCCTATTATTCCATTTTTAATATAGGAAAATTGAATCTTAAGGAATTTAAGTCAAACCCAAGCAAGACTTGATTTGAGGTCTGTCTCTCTCTAAACACTACATTGGAGATTGCCTGAACAAAGAGTGTATTCCTTAACTCAAGTTATAAGTCCAAGTTGGTTGCTGTCAGCTGAAAAATCCAGGATACCAACAGATACAATAAATAAGCCAAGTAAAGACACGTACTGTCTTTCTTGGTTGAAGGTCTATTTCTTTAATCCATCTGGAAACAGTGATTTCAATTCATTCCCTGGTTATGCCATTCACAAACAGACACCTAGACTTACATCTTCGCACACCTCTTTAAACATACTGCTAAGTGACTCTGAAATTCAGCTCCGTGAATATCTTCCGAGTGGAACCAATGAGAAAAAGGAAGACCAAATTAACATAACCTTCTAAGGACAACGGTAAGAAGATGGGAGAACTATCTATGTTCATTTTTATGCCTGTACTTTGAGGCAAAAAGGAAAAAACAGCATGTGTGGATGGGAAATGTAATCAAATATCTTGAAAACTGAATCACTAATTAGAAAGATTCAAACAAAAATGAGAGTCAAGAAGTAGAGACAGACAAAAGTCTGAGATGCTGGATCTGCCAAGTCTGTATGTGAAAGAAGCCTCCAGAGTAAACTGTTAATGCAAATGGAAAACCTTGAAAATGGAAGTGCAATTATGACTCAAGAGCTATTCTCAAAAAAGTGGGGAAGAGGGAGGAAGAGGAGACGATTTTCTCATTGCTCCAAGATGAAACAATCAAATACCATTCTCTTCCACAAAATCTCCCCTCAACTGGAGCCAAAGGACCTGAGGCACAAAGGAAACAACTCCTTCAAGAGCACAGATTCTAAGAGTTTGCTTTTACACAAGGCTTTATCGTGAAGGATGTGAAAAAAGCTCCATCTCACTGAAAGAATTTGTTCCTTAGAGAGAGAAAAGCTTTCTGCTCTTTCTTTTTTTTGTAGTCTCTATTTATCTGTTGTATTTGTGTTTCCGTCTTTAAAATAGACTTTAAATCCTTCTGATCATGGAAAAAGAGGACAAAGTTGGAAGTTAGACTGCATCCAGTTATTTTTCTAAGAGCGCCCTTCTAGAAGTTCATGAATATGAGTTACTTTGGTTTCTTCCTAAACCATCAAATTTCCCTTGGAAAATGAATACATGAAAACTTGCTACCCAAAACACCATTCACAAGATGAGAAAACAACTTCAGTAAATTATTTTTTTTAATATATCATGCAAAATAGTTGATATTGGCATTCAATAATTGGGGGAAAAACAGTCAGTCAAGGGTTTGTCCTGAGCTAAGTTCATGTTTGGTCGGCTTCTTACATTTCTGAAATGTCCCTCTGCTCACAGCTTTCTTTCTTATCCTCTCTCCTCCATCACTCCCACTGAACCACATTTTTTATTTCTCTACGGCCTTTCCTACTTCAGCCCCATTCCGCAGATTCATGCAGACTCACTTTACATCCTCTTCCTCCAGGAAATCATCCACTCTTGTAGTTTTAAATCATTATTACCTAAATATTGGTAACACTCACAGGTCTAGCTCCTCATCTGTAGACCAGTACACCAGACTTCCACCTAGACATCTCCATCTCATGCCTCTCGGGCACCAAAAACTCAACATTCTCCAAAATAAACTCTTCAACAACTCTTAAAACCTAGTTCTTCTTTGATATTTCCTATTTCAGTTAGTGGCTCCATCATCCACTCAGTAAACTGAGCTGAAAACCTAGTTTTCCTTGACGCCATCCTTCGCCTCCTTCCTCTTTCTATTCCAATTCAATGTATCCTCAAATAGTGCTGAACTAACTTCTTAAGTCCTTCTCAAATCCATCACCCACTCTTCATCCCCATGGCCAGTGTCTGACTTCAGACCTCCTCTCCATCCTTCCTCTCCTACAGAAAGAAGCTACCATATTCCTTTCCAAAACCAATCCTGAGGTCTCGACCCCATTCCCTTTTGCTTCCGGTTGAACTTTATCAACTCTTCCAGCACAAAATCCCCTG